TAATTTACATGTGAATTTCACACATGTGTATATATATATATACATGCACGCTTATTCCTGCACAACAACCTGGGAATGGCTCGTATTGGCCTATTTAATCATATTAGCCTCTTCATTCTTGGTTTGAATATTTCACGAGCCTTGACCTAACCTATTCATTCGTTTTCTTTTATTCTAAACTATTTTATACAGTAGTACATATGGTTTTTTAATACAATAAACAAACAATTACATATACTTTATTTAATGTATGATTATTATATCAACAACATAATCTAGTCTAAGTTAGGGATCTTGTAGTGGCCCCACGGTATGGTGTCGGTCGATCCATGGATGATATACCACTTGTCGTCGTGCGGGCTCAGAGCGAGCTTCCGTTCCGACATGGTGAACACCTCGTGCAACTGAGATCGTATGCACGACTGTTGTCGCGTCAGTTCGGTTGCGTTCCGCAGACATTGCACGTAGTCGTCGAAGATGATCGTTCTTGCGACGACGCTTCTCTTTACACCTTTCACCTTCTTTGTGCACTTGCTGTCGCCCACTCGAGTTGCGTACATCTTCGCGCGCAAACCCACAAACTCCGTCATAACAGCACCGTTGTTCTCATCCTTCATAAGTCCCGGTACCTTCTTGTTTGCGCGAGGCATGTTGTATGGATTGTACGCTGGATAATCGCTCGTATCAAAGCGAGCGATATCGCGCTTCANATCCTCGTACACGTTCTCGCACTTTATGTTGTATATCAAACTATCGGTTTCGGTGTAAAGGATCTTGCAATCGTAACCGTACAACGGCGCCATGTAGCCGTAATGGAATTCGGATAGACAGGTCTTCGATATGTCGAGTATGCACATACTAACATACAACGGTTTGTTGAATAAAACTTCCAGACGACGCAGTTCTATCGCCACTAGATCTTCAGCGAACACACTGCGGCTGTGAAAGTTTGGTTTTGCAATTAGCGCCTCCGCACCGCATCGTCCTTCCCATTTTGTAACGAGTCGTACGTCGGTGTACTTGCGCACGTTCTCCATTGTCTTGCCGAACACCGCGTTGTTAATAAGTTTATAAAGATTTTTTGCAAATTCGTTGGTGGCGTTCGCGCGGAATCGGGTATTCAGTTTGATGTATCCGCGCAGCCAAGGCAATTGCGAGAACCGCAGTACTCGATGTATTCGCGTCAGGCGAAGCCCGTATCGCAGACACTGCTGCAGGTTCAGGTAGTGAATTACGTATCGCTTCTTGTTGAACACTGTGGCGAGCAGTTTGACGTAATTCTTTCTATGTTTACCAGGCGGCTCCTCACGCGTTGGACAAAAGGGTAGATCTCTGTGCGCGTCGTGCAGTTCTTTCGGATACGTCAGATTGACCTCGAGTATGTAGCCAACGTCGCTGTCCGCGGCGACCGTTGTCACATTGAACTCGTCTGCGTTCTCCACCCACGCAAAGTTACCATATGGAAGCGGTTGACACATCGCCCATCCGTAGAGATTGTTAACGTCGTAGTACATCAGATACGACGACGGTTCGGATGGATCGTACGATTGCGCGTAACTGTTGGCGCGGGCGTATCTGTTTGAACATTGACTTAAACCACCGCGTATGCCGCGTTCCACGAACATCACCATGTCAATGTCAGTTAACAGCTCGAACGTTACACGAGTGTACTTCAACATGGCGTCCCATGTATATCCCGGCAGCGTGTAGTAGTGCGCGGGATCCAGTCCGTAACTCGCGAGGCACTCGCGACGAAAGTTTTCGAATACATCGGCCAGCAATAGTACGTCTGTCTTCAGATACAGGTCGCTGTAAGAAATTGTCGATGTTGAATAGTCGCCAGACTTTTGTCGCGTGCTCGTACTTGCTCTCCGTCACAGTCTCATTAGTCAGCGAACTGTAAAACGCCTCGCGCGGTGGCAAACTTGTTTCCAACAATTTGTCGACGCTGTCCACATATTCATATAGAAACACACCTTTTCGCGTGAGCAGTTNGAAGTCCTCGGTGGAGAGATTGCTGAATTCCGTTCGAGTCACTCGCAGTTCGCTCTTGTTGAGATAGGACGCGAGCTTTTCTAAGCTTGTGCTCAGAAATTTGTACGAATCGATGAANCGCAGTTGCACGCACTTCTGATTGTCTTCATCTCGAGTACTGCTCACATGTTTCGTGAACGATATGTAGGTCTCTTTTGTCACGGGCAGCACGTTGATCTCACCCTCGAAAGCGGTGGCCACATCCTTGATAATAAAATGCGCGTCGTATCCCGACAAGTTGTGGAACACAACAGGAACAACGTAGACTTGTTTGTAATTCAGATTGCACGCGGAGTGCACGGGTCCTCTGAAACGTCCCGTCAGATGACAGTGATCGCGCACTCTNATGTCGTCTCGCTCAAACGGTCGTTCGCAAACGTGGCAACACTCGGCGTTCGTAAACCGCTCGAACTCCACCGGTGTGAGATTCGCCATGGGTACAGTTGTTGCGAACAAGATCTTCGCACGTTTCGCGAGCTCGTGCAGTTTGTTTACGAACCACTGCACACAGTTCTCGCCTCTGTGAGATCTGTATCCGATGTTAATGTGCTCGCAGCTCGCGTAATAACCGATGCTGAACACGCTGTGTCTTTGGTATTTGTGCGCGCTCGATGCGTTCTCCTCTTTGTCTTGTTTCTCGAGTACGCACTCCGAGTCGGCGTACACCACCATTGGAACCCGTTCCTTGTTGTTGTAATTCTTAAATGTCAAACAGTTCTTTCCCTCAGCGGGAAAAACGATTGCGCTGTTGTTCAATTGTTCACAATTCGTGGTGTGTACAGCCAGCTTATCGCTCGTGTAGAAGTAGTGTAGACATTTATGTACGTGTTGCAATAAACGAACAATACACGCAACAGTGATTTTTGAGTTCATCATCTCATAATTTCTAGACTTACTTTTTATTCAACAATTTTATAGGATTATTCTTTTATATTTTCACAGCTTCAAGACACCTATCTTTAAGATTATCATTATCTTTAAGTCTATGGATTAGAATTATCTTTTATAGATTAATCAATTACTTTAACGAAATAATAGCACACCTAACTCTTTCCGGAACACCATCAGTATTACATTGTTGTTACTGTTACACCACTCATTTGTACTTACCGATCGCATATATACTTCGCTGTTTTCATTTTGCTCAATTGCGAGCTGACTAAACGCGATAAATTTTTTAACCACGCAAAGTGTCCCACGTGTCCATTGTGATCGGGAACATACAGTAGATTCACATGCTTCTCCTTCTTGTTCGACGTGAGATGCAGCGGCACGTATCCGCGTCTTTGTTCCGCTGCCGTAAACACGTTTACGGACACGTTGTTGTTGCGTTCGAAACGCGCGATTTGGCGCAATGTCATTGAAAACTCTATTCCATCAAGGTTTAACACACTCGCGTACGCGGGATACTGTGATATTTGTTCGGAATGTGAAGCACTTGGATACAACGCGGCGACCACTGCCCACTCGAAACACGCGTTGCCCCGCGACTGTACGTTCACAACCGGCCGTTTGAGCTGAACCTCACGCGATATTTTAATCTGACATCCCGCGCGCATCGGATTGGGACTGTTCACATTCACTGTGAGGTTCAGTATCTGCGTCAACGCCCAGCCGCTGTCGCGTTCCTGGAACTCCTCCAGAGTGGTCATTGTCGCATCCATCACATCTCGATCGTACCACTCGCGCAGATCCAACGAGTGATACAACGCGTGATTGCGCGTATTGAACGATTTTACACTAGTTTTTTCACCCGCGACAAACTTCCCGTTGAACACTGTGTTTACTTTCCCACTAGCGTGCCGCGCGATCGCTCGATGAACGCGCGCGAACACCGTGTCTCTAGTGGCTTCGAGAAAGCGACGGGGCTCGATGAACGACTTGTTCACCACAATGCCGGTCAACAAACGATTTTTAAACGCTGTCTCGACTTCGATCCATGCAAGTCCCGCACTCTGGACACCCGCACCAACGTGCGCGTATCGTTCGCGAAGGGCTGCGCGCAGACTTTCGAGTCGCGCGATACGAGCGACGTGCCAATTTATCACATCTGTAGACGGTCGCGGGCGTTTTCTACGGCACTCTTCTCTCAGTGTCTCTAGACGTTTGTCGCATTATTCCTCCCACGAGATGTAATCGTCCAATGCGTCGAGGAGCGCGGCCTCTTCTTCGAGCGGTTTGCGATCGTTCATGTTTTGTCTTTTGCTTATACTAACGATAGTATTATTGGATCGTATATATTTGTTGGATTCAATTTACGCTTTTTTATCTTTTTATCCATTAGTTGCTCATAGTCTTCATTGTCAGGGGATGTATCCTTGTGCCACTCGGTATTTCAATAACAATCGTCCTCTGTATACAAAACAAACAACGGTCGTCTATAGCAGTTGGAACACCATCGCTCTGGATTCCAGATTACGTCTGTCATAAAATCTGCGTCTTCGATCATTTGATGTCCGGTGACTTTTAACCATCTATTCTGCAACCTAATCTTAACTTTTGCATTCTTCTTCTGAGCTTATTTTCACGTATCTCTATCTCTAGCCATAGACAGTGGCCAATTATGACCTCCATTGAGAATTAAAGCATTTAATCCTTACATCCTTCTTTTAAACACAAGTATTTTAGTGTCCTTANAAATTTTAATTACTTGAACACACCATTCAATTATAAATAGAAATTTCACANAAAGAAAAATAAGGTTAGTAATTACAATTTTATTAGAAATATATTTTATTTGCCTTCAAGTTATTGAATACTTTGAATTTTTTTTTATTATTTCTGACTCAATTTACGGATCTACAGTTTTTGTAGCCATGAAATTCCATGGTCTACATGTCATTAATGGAAACCTATTTTTAATGGTATGCAACAATCGACTTAATATAAACCACTTTTCCTTTCTACATCACCTTAGATTTGAAGCAAGAGCTTGATATTGACATTTCGTAGATGTTGTATCAGTAGAGTCTATCTGGCATCCTAAATGTCATCCTCAAGGTAATTTCTTCCGTTACTACCAACAGCCAACTTTTGCGTTGCTTTTAACCATTGACTACTTTAATCTTTTGACATCACTTGTATACTACGTTATCTGTCATATTCACGACTGAAAAAGGCTCACTTAAGAGTCAAAATATTTTGTATTTTTATGTAAATCTTGATCATTAAATTATTTGTTTTATTATATTAACATTTTTTTATTGGCTTGATGTGACCTTATTTATTTGCTTATTTGTATTTACATTGCGAGCGTTTCTGTTATTAATTATTTTTTTGTTGTATGTTTACTTTTATTTATTTTAATTTACTGATATAGATATTATATAAACTTATATAATATAATTAAAAGTACATTTAAAAATTCCAATTAGAGAATTTAGTTCTTCAAACTAATATAAATATTAAATGCTTATTATAATTACTATAGTAATAATCATATTAGCTATTTTCATAGCTCTAGTAACTATTAATCTACTAGTAACAAAAAATTCCAATCACGTAAAAAAAGTCCTTTGTCGAATGTAAATTTGATCCCCCATTTATTAGTCGTATTCCTTTAAGAAGACAATTTTTTTTAATTAGTGTGATACTTCTAGAATCTGATGAAGAAATTTGACTATTATTACCGTTACTTCTAGTATTAAAAAACTATAAAATTTTTATTATTAACAGGAATCAAATAAGGCCGATACGAGCCATTCGCAGGATGTTTATGCGGAAACTATGCGTGTACAAATATATATACACAGTTTGTCCGGAAAGTTCCCGGACTGATTTTTTCTAGCGCGGGTAAGCGGCGCTATCGAGCGGTCAACGCTGGAACTACTTAGTAT